CTTTCTCAACCTGAACTACAACTCCCATCACCCTTAGCTAGCAAGGCCAGAGCTCAGGGATGATGGGAGTTGTAGTCCAACAATATCTGGGGACCCACAGGTTGAGAACCGCTGCACTAGTTGATGCAAACTGAACAAATTCACATATCTTGTGTGGGTTCTGTGTACAGCGACTGCACACTATCGCCAATTTGAAGTGCAAAGACATTTTTTCTCCACTCTAGTACTGCCAAGCACAACAACAGAATACTAAATGCTAGGTAATCTATGGTCACCCACATGCTATGGTACCTGGGAAGACACATCACGTGACTTAAATCAACAAAACATACCAGCCTAGCGAAACTGCTGAAAACATGTAGGAGGAAATGTACCTTGACAAATTATTACAAAGTTCAGGAGGTGAGAGTGGAAGATCCAGCATGCCAGTGGCATATGATAGACATTAGGAGCGAATATAAGCAGCACGTGCACAGCTCATTTAATAATAGGGCAAGTGTAACATTTTCTTTAAGTTTCATCACATCATTCTTTGTTGTTGTTGGCATCCGTCTGTCTCGAGAGACAATGGAGTGCGCCTCCGGGGGTGAAGTGTTAGCAGCACCGAAATGACCTTCCTGGGGCACAAGCCTGGGCAGTGTGCATGGGATGACAAGACCCACCCTGTTGTTGTTCTTGCTGTTGTTGTTGTTTTATATTTATCTATACCCCGCCTTTTTCCCTGACAGAGACTCAAGGCAGCTTACAGATAAAACAAGAACAACTAAAAAGAGAGCTGTGCTTCACGTGAATAGAAATTGTTCTGTTCCGCGTTTCACATGTACAGAAACGTTTCTTTGTTTTGATGCTTCTCAAGATTAACTTGGTTTTTTGTTTCTTTCACCGCAGTCTTTTGTAAATTATGGTGAAACTGTTTATCCATTTGAATGCTATTTCCATCTGTTGCAGGGCAATAGCTTCTTCAATCTATCTCTCTTTTGTAGTAGCAGTAAGACTCTGGTATCAGCTACCCACATTTCAGGCATGCCAGATGGTATGGAGGTGAACTGCCATCTCCTTGCCCTCAAGTTGTTACAAATTAGTTTATAATTGTGCTTTCCCCCCACTCTTTTCCACAAAGAAACTCTCAGCACAACTTGTAACTTCTCTTTACATTTATAACATTATTCAGTTAATCCTGTTTTTTCTCTTTTTTAATGGTGATCTGTATGGCTGTATCTTGTTTGCTTATTCTGCAGCATGATTTTTAAAACTCTTATGAAATTGCACCCCAGTTGTAAGTTGACTAAATCTTTCACATACACATTTTGGCTTCTGGACTGGCACGTGTGCAATTAGCACTTACACTTTGCATGCTTCTTCCTGATGCATGATACCTAAACATGTGTGTGCGCACGCACACACACAGTTCTGTCCTCCTGGCCCTACTTCCTGCGTACACCTTATTTTGTCTTTTATTTTTATTTGGCAAATATAACAAGAAGAAACATCCTCAGCTCACATTAGCACATCATTTTTCTCTCTCTCACACACACACACACAACAGACACACACAGAGTCCCTATGTCCAAATAAATATCCAAATGAGATTGACAATTAGAAGATATACATTCAAATGTAGAAAGGGCAGGAGGTCTTCAGACCACTAAACAGTGGGTGGTGAGTGTTTTATACTTCATGGCTGCAAGGATAGTCTCTTTGCAACCATAAGGGTTTGTAGGATCACACCTTTTCTATTTCGGTTGATATCCAGCCTGTGGTAACTGCACTGACAGCAGTCAAGAGCTTTCAGTGCTTCTTGTGGAGGTCACTGCACACACAGAGATGACTTTGTAGACCTTTAACCAATAAAGTGGTTTGTGCCCCTTTCCACAGATATCCAGTTTGGTTTTTAAACTATGATTTTTGTTTGTTTATTTATTTATTTAAAAAATCTTCAAACGATTTCCTTGAAAGCAAAAGCATCTTCAAACAATTCCATGTAACATACAAATATAATGAGACATGGTAGGAAAGATACAGAGTTTGCATATCATTTTGACAGTTCCACTCTCCACTGTTGTCATTCTTTTAATCATTTCTTTTATTTCGTCTCAGGTACATTTAAGTGCAAATGTAGTGTGTCTGATAAAGCAGATCAGAGTATTCCTGTTTTAAGGCAACCATGACAAATCTGCGTCTATGTTTTCAGCAGTGGTGATGGAGGTTATAACATGTGCATCACTCCCAAGTTTCTTATTTATATGCCTGTTGCATTTCTTTTTTTATTCTGCAATCTACCTTTTTGCTCCCAGGCAGTACCATCAGGTTCCAACAACCAGTTTGAGGCAGGGAACAGGGGGCTGCATTGATTTTTACTGTGTTCCATCCCTCAAGATGATAGTAGAGGGCAGTGTGGTGTATTTTGTTTTACATACCAAGCCAATGTTGTGAGCAACTGCATAATTTGCCCAAGGCTTTGTCTCTGTTAATGGTTCCCACTGGTCCAAGAATGGGTGGGGGATACCCTGACTCTATAAAACACTGCCTCTTACAGAAATATATAAACACAAGAAGTGGCCAATATTGTGCTGTTGCAAAAAAGGGGGGGGATATATTGCATGCAAGACATTGTAAACAGAAGTATCATTTTATTCTGTTACGGTTAGGACCCCTGTTGTTGTTGTTGTTGTTGTTGTTGTTGTTATATTTATTTATTTATACCCCGCCCATCTGGCTGAGTTTCCCCAGCCACTCTGGGCGGCTCCCAATCAAGTGTTAAAAACAGTACAGCGTTACATATTAAAAACTTCCCTGATCAGGGCTGCCTTAAGATGTTTTCTGAATGTCAGGTAGTTGTTTATCTCTTTGACATCTGATGGGAGGGTGTTCCACAGGGTGGGTGCCACTACCGAGTAGGCCCTCTGTCTGGTTCCCAGTAGCCTCACTTCTCGCAATGAGGGAACCGCCAGAAGGCCCTCGGCACTGGATCTCAGTGTCTGGGCTGAACGATGGGGGTGGAGACGCTCCTTCAGGTATACAGGACCGAGGCCGTTTAGGGCTTTAAAGGTCAGCACCAACACTTTGAATCGTGTTTGGAAATGTATGTTTAGAAGATGGGTGAGCTAGTTTCTGCAAGTCACAAAAATCAGAGCTTTGTGTAAACAAGGAAAGGAAGAAGAAACACATTGTGCTTAGCTCTGATGAAGCCTAGTTGCACAATGGTCGTTTAAGCATTGGGTTCATTTTGTGTCAAACAACACATGTGTGAATATTCAGGGAACCGGTGGCAAATTGTTTACACTGTTGGACAATGAGGAAATTTGCACAGCATCCTTCTGGATTCCCCTTCTACAGAATGTTCAAAAGGAGTTGGCTTGTTTGTACAGCTAGATCCCATTTGCATTTCTATGATACGGTCAGATGTCTTTGTGATAAAGTCAATAGCGTTTCTTGAGTCTGCTTTAAGTCAAGGGAAGTTTTGAATAGCTGGGAAGTGGGCTACTTTGTTTTTGACGTATTCCAGTTTTGTTATTCTATGGTTACTTAGGTTTTCCAACCTCCACCATTCAGAGGAATAATTGGAGTTCAGAAGCTGCTAATGTCTCTATCCAGATTGTGACATTCAGAGCTATTCCCTCCCCCCTTTACTTGCTTTAGGGATGCTTGGCATAGAATTTGTATTAAGAAATGCCTGGGATTTTGGCAACTTTCTTCATAATAATCATTGTAATAAAGCAAAGGATATAATTCACAGCTACCTTCTCTCCAGAAATTTACCCAGAACAGCATGAGAGGAAAGAGAAATATTAATCTGTAGAATAACTCTTCTACAGAAAAAAGAAAGGGAGGCTAGTGTCTGCTCAAATTTAAATTTTAGCCTAGCAAGTGAGCAGTAGTGGATTACATTTGCTCTTCTTCTTCAATTACAAGATGCAGATTATCATGAAACGGTTTGAATTTATTCAACTTTGGGGTAAATGTAACATTCTCTGCCCATTATTGGAACAAGAGAGGATTCTGAACCTAAACCTTTTAAAAATGTTCAGTTAATGCACTCATCAGTTCCAGGACATACACAAAATATTCTGATTTTAAGTTACTGTAAAATACCATGCTTTTTCTCAAAAACCTGAATTAACTGATCCCCTTAAGATCAACTCTGACTGCCTCTGGCAGCCCTGCTCTGCTACTTACCTGAAAGCAGATTTTAGTTTACGACCAGCTGCAGTATTTATTACCTCCATTGGTTGCTCTACTAAATATCTGTGCCCTATCACCATGGATGAATCCAATTAACCCAGAAACGTGATAATCAAAGATGTTAGACGTGCTCTACCACCTTACACTGAAGCAAATGGTATGACAGACAATGTCAGGCATGTCCATCTCTTGAAGTTCTATGGAGGGGAGTACATTTTTCATGCTGATTGCTGCAAAATACTGCTCTGATTAGTTTAAAAGAATTAGAGTTATTATATCTGGGCTGAGGGAGACAGGAGAGAGAGTCATTGTTGATGATACTTAGCTGCCTACAAAATCTGTTTCAGTGGGAATGATAACAGATTCCATGACAAAACACCAATAAAGAATCGCAATAAAGAGTGGCTGGGGTATAAATAACAGGGAAACTCACTGAGAGCAAGATTGAAGTGTGCAAACTGGTCATGGTTCAAGACCTAAGAGACATATCTGCTGTTTGGTGTTTGTTTGTTTTTTAAATGAAGAGGAATATAGCCCTCTGACATAGCAAGGATATCCCTTATACTTTATTTGGGGCTGAGAGATCGTGCTGCTAGACTTGATCTGAGGCAGGCACAGGTGTTACACAATGAGATTTTTAACTGAGAAAAGTTCTCAATCTGTCTTGAGGTTTGCACATTAGAAGATCTTGCCCTGTGCAGTATGTTCTCTGTTTTGTTCTGTGAGACCTCCGGGTATAGGGCAGTATATAAATTCTAATAATAATAGTAAATAATTTTGTTCTTTACTAACTTCAACCCTTTTCTTTCCTCCACTAGGGCTCATTTCAAAACATTTGTCCCTCAGTTCCAGGAGGCAGCATTTGCCAATGGAAAACTCTAAGATCATAGAAGGGGGAGACAACCTCATCCTGCAAGGATGCCAAACAGAGACTTGTGTCATTGCCTGTCAACAAATTGCAAGATGGCTTCCTGCAAGTAGTTTGGACTTCAGTCTCTTGGTGTGTTTTGCCTCTGGGGTGCTGTTGTGATCACCACAGATTGAATTTACTCTTGTCTATATGAGGACCTTGGCTGACTAAAATTTTTTGCTATTTTTTGCTCATTTTCCCTACATGCAAACACATTTCTTATTTTATCTGTGTGATCAAAATTAAAAATAATTTGCATAGATGTGCCCCCCCCCCCGTGATGCCTTATTTATGAATTCTTTTTCTATACCAGTATTTCAGGCTTTCTTGTTAACTTTTCTGTGATGATTGACATATTAGAAGTAAACAGAAAATAGCTGAGCAATAAGCCTTGTTAGACGAAGCACTGCCGTATCATGCCTTTGTAATTATTTGTGTTCAAGGTTTATCTCCAATTGAGTCTGAAAGAACAAAACCAGAGGAACATTTTAATTGCTACAGAAGGTAGTATGATGGCACATAACTCTTAGTGCTTCTAACTGGACGTCCCCCATGTTGTAGAATTCTGCTTTGTACTCTTGTTATCAGTACCAAATCTGAGATGAGCTATCTTGTCACTATCCAGTATGTTACTAAGAAATGCCTACCATTTGAATACCAGTAGTGTCTAAAAATTAAATGTGTAAGTTATGATGAATTCACGTTTCACGGCACAGCTCTGATGAGAAACACAAATGCCACTATTGAAACAGGCTTTCAAAGTCAGCAGTGTCATTAGTACCTTTATTAATTTATAATGCATAGTCTTTCAACCTAAAATGTATGGTTTAGTTCACATCTAGATGACTTTATGAGAAAACATAATTGGATGCTTCATTCTTTCTTATACAGGAATTGTACATTCAGCATCTGAGCCCTTTCTTGTTCTTTCCTGTGATACATTTCGGCAAGCCGCTTGTCTGACTAGCCGTGGACTAACTTCCCATATTTTGTAAATAGCTCAGGGTGCTTTCCAACAGGGAATCAAACGTTCGTAAATAGCATGTGGGAAACATACTTTAGTTCCGTTGTGATTCACAGAACAAAACTGAATAATTTCTGCTGCTGTATCCAGAACACCTCTAGTTGCCTAATATGTCACTATTCCTCGAAATGTAACTAACATTATAGGGTTGTATCTAAGTCATACTTTGAGTGGCTGCTTAGTGGGATAGAACACATAGAACATCATTCTTAGAATGTTAGTGGACAGTACTCTTTATTATTACTACCCAATTACTTTGTCCCAGGGATTGGATGCACCTGGTTAGCAGGCCTCTTTCTGCTGGCATTGTGTGCACAAGGGAATCTTGCCGCCTGATCCAGCAGGCTTTGTCTTGACTGCCCATAAGTAGAGATAGAGCCTGCTTCCCCTTGCTATTGCGCTACCAGGATTTGTACTTTAAGGTTCCCAATTGTGCATTGTTGTTGTTGTTTAGTCGTTTAGTCGTGTCCGACTCTTCGTGACCCCATGGACCAGAGCACGCCAGGCACTCCTGTCTTCCACCGCCTCCCGCAGTTTGGTCAGGCTCATGTTTGTAGCTTCGAGAACACTATCCAACCATCTCATCCTCTGTCGTCCCCTTCTCCTTGTGCCCTCCATCTTTCCCAACATCAGGGTCTTTTCCAGGGAGTCTTCTCTTCTCATGAGGTGGCCAAAGTATTGGAGCCTCAACTTCACGATCTGTCCTTCCAGGGAGCACTCAGGTCTGATTTCCTTAAGAATGGATAGGTTTGATCTTCTTGCAGTCCATGGGACTCTCAAGAGTCTCCTCCAGCACCATAATTCAAAAGCATCAATTCTTCGGCGATCAGCCTTCTTTATGGTCCAGCTCTCACTTCCATACATCACTACTGGGAAAACCATGGCTTTAACTATACGGACCTTTGTTGGTAAGGTGATGTCTCTACTTTTTAAGATGTTGTCTAGATTTGCCATCGCCTTTCTCCCAAGGAGCAGGCGTCTTTTAATTTCGTGACTGCTGTCACCATCTGCAGTGATCATGGAGCCCAAGAAAATAAAATCTCTCACTGCCTCCATTTCTTCCCCTTCTATTTGCCAGGAGGTGATGGGACCAGTGGCCATGATCTTGGTTTTTTTGATGTTGAGCTTCAGACCATATTTTGCGCTCTCCTCTTTCACCCTCATTAAAAGGTTCTTTAATTCCTCCTCACTTTACAGAAGATATTTTTAGCTGACGAAAACAAAAATATGCCATTTTTCCACCTTAAACCATGCCCAAAGCAGATTGCAATAAACAATTTTTTTTAAATGCGGAACATTTTTATTTAGAAAATTTGTTTTTTTTAAAGCACCAGCAAATTCAAACAAGACAACATCAACAATTCCAAAATCATAGGATAAATTATTACAATGAAGTAATCTAGACTTAAGGCGGGATAAGTTCAGAACAAAATTAACAGATAGGTAAAATAAATGCTAACCCACGTAACTAGTTCCAGTCTTGCATTCCAAGGGGCTGGCTTAAATGCAATTTGGAGCGGGCAGGTGTTTTTTTTACCAGACTAGGTGTGCTTTCCTCATCCTGGTGTCCTCCAGGTGTTCTGGCTTACCATTCCCATCACCCCTGACAGTTGGTTGTGCTACCTGGGACAAATTTGCAGATGACACCAAACTGGGAGGGGTGACTAACACCCCAGAGGACAGGATCACACTTCAAAACGACCTTGACAGATTAGAGAACTGGGCCAAAACAAACAAGATGAATTTTAACAGGGAGAAATGTAAAGTATTGCACTTGGGCAAAAAAAATGAGAGGCACAAATACAAGATGGGGGACACCTGGCTTGAGAGCAGTACATGTGAAAAGGATCTAGGAGTCTTGGTTGACCACAAACTTGACATGAGCCAACAATGTGACGCGGCAGCTAAAAAAGCCAATGCAATTCTGGGCCTCATCAATAGGAGTATAGCATCTAGATCAAGGGAAGTAATAGTGCCACTATATTCTGCTCTGGTCAGACCTCACCTGGAGTACTGTGTCCAGTTCTGGGCACCACAGTTCAAGAAGGACACTGACAAACTCGAACGTGTCCAGAGGAGGGCAACCAAAATGGTCAAAGGCCTGGAAACGATGCCTTATGAGGAACGGCTAAGGGAGCTGGGCATGTTTAGCCTGGAGAAGAGGAGGTTACGGGGTGATATGATAGCCATGTACAAATATATAAAAGGATGTCACATAGAGGAGGGAGAAAGGCTGTTTTCTGCTGCTCCAGAGAAGCGGACACGGAGCAATGGATCCAAACTACAAGAAAGAAGATTCCACCTAAACATTAGGAAGAACTTCCTGACAGTAAGAGCTGTTCGACAGTGGAATTTGCTGCCAAGGAGTGTGGTGGAGTCTCCTTCTTTGGAGGTCTTTAAGCAGAGGCTTGACAACCATATGTCAGGAGTGCTCTGATGGTGTTTCCTGCTTGGCAGGGGGTTGGACTCGATGGCCCTTGTGGTCTCTTCCAACTCTATGATTCTATGATTCTATTCTATGATTCTATGATGGGAATTGTAGTCCCAAGTATCTGAAGGACTTCCACGGTCCAGAGCAGCCTTGTTTGAATACAGCTCAGAGGGCAGAGGTCTTCTCACCAGGCTAGGTGGCTTACAGGGCCTTCTACCTCCACACCAGCATGTTGAGCTCAAATCTTTTGAGGCATGTGCACACACGGCCAATTTTCCTACATCGTACATGAATCCTGCATGTAGTCAACATTATATTGAAGTTGTTTCTAGGTAGGATTGGTCAGTGTTGGCCAATAATGGTCAATTACATGGTCAAATATTCAAATATATAGGTAAAGGTAAAGGTACCCCTGCCCGTACGGGCCAGTCTTGACAGACTCTGGGGTTGTGCGCCCATCTCACTCAAGAGGCCGGGGGCCAGCGCTGTCCGGAGACACTTCCGGGTCACGTGGCCAGCGTGACAAGCTGCATCTGGCGAGCCAGCGCAGCACACGGAACGCCGTTTACCTTCCCGCTAGTAAGCGGTCCCTATTTATCTACTTGCCCCCGGGGGTGCTTTCGAACTGCTAGGTTGGCAGGCGCTGGGACCGAACGACGGGAGCGCACCCCGCCGTGGGGATTCGAACCGCCGACCTTTCGATCGGCAAGCCCTAGGCACTGAGGCTTTTACCCACAGCGCCACAATAAGTTAGAAAAAGACAATGCTGAATATAAAAAATTGTCATCTAGAACTCAAAAGTCCATTTCTTCCCAGAAGCTTTCTAGAGTACCATATAAGATCACATAGAGACCCTTGTTCCCCATAGCAAGTGCAGTGGACTAGTTCCATGAAGGAAATGTGTTTTGTGATTTGCTCCAGTGCAACTTTAGTCCCAGGTACATAGCATCATAGCCTATGCTTAGAACTTACCAAAGTGAGCAAGGTTACATCTCCTTTCTGGTTCTGTTCCATCAGTGATGGATCAGTGTCTAAAAACAAGTTGGCATTGTTGTTGTTTAGTCATGACCCCATGGACCAGAGCATGCCAGGCACTCCTGTCTTCCACTGCCTCCCGCAGTTTGGTCAAACTCATGTTCGTAGCTTCGAGAACACTGTCCAACCATCTTGTCCTCTGTCGTCCCCTTCTCCTTGTGCCCTCCATCTTTCCCAACATCAGGGTCTTTTCCAGGGAGTTGGCATGGCCAAGCATTAATGAGCATTTAAGAAACCACAAATTGGCAGGTTCTCAGTTCCAAATACAATAATAATAATAATAATAATAATAATTTATTATTTATACCCCGCCCATCTGGCTGGGTTTCCCCAGCCACTCTGGGCGGCTTCCAACTGAATATTAAAAACAGTACAGCATCAAACATTAAAAACTTCCCTAAAGAGGGCTGCCTTCAGATGACTTTTAAAAGTAAAATAGTTGTTCATAGAATCGGGTGAATAATAAGTGTGAGAAGCTAATCGCCTCCATCTGCTTCTTTGCAAAATAAACTGCCTCGCTTGTAACCTGCAGGTACCTGTAAGCATGCTTCTACATTTACTCTTTTCTCCTTTTAGATGACACCATTCAGCCACTCGTTTAGACAGACAACCTTCTCCCAAACTATTGCATTGTCACTTTTTTATAGCTGGTTTACAGTGGGTTTTTAAAAACCCCAAAATGCTTCTATTCCAGATGCAGCTACTCACTTATTACCTTCACTTCTGTTTTCTAGTGAACCTGACAACAGTGTGTGAGAAAGGGAAATCTTGTCAGTTCACTTCTGCCATGTAATTTCTTTTCATTAAATTAGTACTGTGGGCTCCACTATTGATGCACACATGTCTTTACCTTTTTTTGACTAGGCTGCCCTCCTCTTTCCCAAAGCCTGGTGAGAGGGAAGTTTTGGCTTATGGTTATAAAAACCAGAAGCCTATTGTTAGCATGTGGGAACTTGATCATACACAGCCGCTGCAGATCAAGGGTATTACTAGTAATAGGTCATGGGGGGGGGATGCTTTTATTGTTATTAACTGGAAGAGCTATAAGATGCTTTGACATCTGTGCCAATATTCTCCTTATACTTTATATTTACATGGATGCATAAAAAAGAAAAAAGACTTGCATGAAAATGAATTGGACTGGTTTCAAATCACCCTTGAAGCCATGAAGCTATCAGGGTCCCCTTCAGAAGTCACTATCTCTAAG